AATGAGCACAGATTTGCTTCACTGTACATAATTGCACTTCACCTGCATTGTTTATTAAGTCAGGCCCAGTGTGATTATGTGTGCACTGACATGGAAGAGCAACCAGATATCTACTAAGCATTTCCAATGTTTCCAATGGAGACAGTGGACTTCTCCAGCAACAAAAGCATAATTTGCTCCAACTGTTAGTACTCAACAGGCAGCTTGTTTATTGCAAATATGTCTGAACTGCAACTATTTGGTCAAATGTTTTAATGGCTACCTGCAGCAAATTGCCAAGTACTGAAAAAAATAAGAACTTGTCTAGTGCACCCCCCGAAAACAGTTATGCCCTAGAAGCCAAAGCTGAACTCCGGGCATTACACTGTCCTTGCAGTCAGGGCAGCCATCAGAAATTTTGGGGCCCCTTACACAGCTTTAGGCCGGGCCCCCCCCCCCCCCACTCCTTTCCTTCCTTCCTTCTTAGCTCCTCTTACCTGCACACATGGCCTCGTCTGCGGCCGGACCGGCCAGAAATGACGTCACTTCCGGCCAGTCCGACATCAGACGAGCAGCGTCGCTGATGGCGTCCTAGCTTGTCTCAAAGCCGCTGGAGCGGCAATGCTGGGGCCCTGTGCTGCTAGGGCCAGGCCTCCACCTCCTCGCCCTTCACCGTCGGCCGATAGTCATGTAAGGGACTCGGGCGGGCCCCCCAGGCTGCCCGGGCCCCTTACATGAGTATCGGCGTACCCCCCCTGATGGCTGCCCTGCTTGCAGTACAAAGGGTAGAGAAATAAGGCGTAACAGCTCATTCATACATCTGCTCAGGGCCCAGATCAGCATAGTTCTGTAGCAGTTATGTCCTGGTGTTAGCAATCAGCTGCGTATAGTAAGTCTATGGACATGTCACATGTCACATGTCATTGTTCAAGGAGCACTTATATGTGGCTAGGGACAGACAAGCAGCCCTGTATGCAGACTGTTTGTGTTCAGGGCCACTCCTCTGTCCCTAACCACAGGTATTTGCTTAGTGTACAAACACATGCGGACAGCTGCAGAGTCTCTCAGTCCGTCATTAATTTGTACAGGCTGAGAGGCTGCAGCTAATTGGAAATCATGTGAATGAGCCTTTATACTTACCTTATTCTCGCTTCGGTAGGCTCCCACCATGGTGTGATGGTGTTTTGTTTAAATTTGTTTAAATTCACAGATTTTAGCTTCAAAGAGAACCTGTTATTGCTGGGCTTATTGAGGGATCCGAATCTTCAGTCTTTAAAGCCCTACTCCGGGCAAAATGATAAGTTACACACCCCACTGGGTGTGTAAATTATCATTAAAAAGCTGTGTGCTATGTGCAGAGGACTTCTGTAAAGTATACAAACGTACCTTGAAGTATGCCATCCTCTGCACAGAATGCCCAGCTTCCAGGCACTGAAATGAGGGAGAGATATGCGACCCGAGCTGTACAGTGCTCCAGTCGCATTACCTGCCCCTCTTCACTATCCTCCATTCAGAAAATGTCTTGTATTTTTTTTTTTTTTTTAAAGAAAGGAGACAGAATGTGATGATAGGATAACTTAAGTGAATATTCTCAAGTACTTTAATAAATCAGCCTCAGTGTGTGGGGTTAAGGTAGTTGACAGACCAGCAACTTTCAGACTGCATTTGATCCCTGACTCTCTGATTCCGTGCACAGTTCCCAAATTTCAATCCTGACAGGTTCCTTATAAATGTCTGATTTGCTTGCATGGATAAACGTAGCCATTGCAGAAGTAAAAGAACATAAGTATAAAGTTAGAATCATTTCCTCCATAGTTCTGGGCTTGATCCAACTACAGCTTAGCACGTCCAGAGTGGTAGCACAACATCAGCATTCTAAACAGTTACCCTTCAAGTACGTCTAAGGCAGGGGTGTCCATTAGGTAGATCGTGATCTACCAGTAGCTCTCAAAGCTGATGCTGGTAGATCACGAAGGGTGTGAATGGCGTCCCCTTTATTCCATTTTTGTAAATATTTTTTTAGCTGTGCGCACATGATTACCTATTAGCCCGAGTCTGCTGAGCCAAGCTCCCTGACACCTTTCTTGTGGATACTGGTGGTTGAAGTGCTATGTATTACATCAAGGAATATTAGTTTACACAGCCTGTTGCTCTGCACTGTTTGCAAAATACAGCAAGGTGAGCCAGGAGAGAGAGAGGGGAGAGACAGACAGGAAAGAGAGAGGGGAGAGAGCGAAGAGAGGCAGCCAAGACAGCGAAGAGAGACAGCCAGGAGAGAAAATGAGGAATGACAGCCAGGAGAGAGAGGAGAAACAGCCAGGAGAGAGAGGAGAGACAGCCAGGAGAGAGAGCAAGGAGAGACAGCCAGGAGAGCGAGGAGAGACAGCCAGGAGAGCGAGGAGAGACAGCCAGAAGAGAGAGAGTGAGGGAGGTTTTTTTTTTCCGTCGGTAGATCTCATGTAGCTCGTTATTTGAAAAGTAGATCTCAACAAAGGAGAGAAAATGAGGAATGACAGCCAGGAGAGAGAGGAGAAACAGCCAGGAGAGAGAGGAGAGACAGCCAGGAGAGAGAGCAAGGAGAGACAGCCAGGAGGGGGAGGAGAGACAGCCAGGAGAGCGAGGAGAGACAGCCAGAAGAGAGAGAGTGAGGGAGGTTTTTTTTTTCCGTCGGTAGATCTCATGTAGCTCGTTATTTGAAAAGTAGATCTCAACACAAAAAATTGTGGGCACCCCTGGTCTAAGGAGAGCTGCTTGCAGAGTCTTTAAAGTGACACTAAACTCAGGAGTTAAATCTTAAAAATGCATTCAAGTACCCTAACTATTTACAAAAATGTATCTTATGTGTGTATCACTCAGCTGTAGATCCTCAAATCGTCTCTGAATTAATGCTGACACTGTCCTTCTTTCTGGAGGGTGGCCACTTGTGTTCCTCATGCTCCCTGTGTGTGTTGTAAAGTAGTCACCACTCCAAGCTCACTCCAGTGACAGACTTCAATCTCACGTTTATTTTATTGCTTTGTATTGAGATTGTAGTCTATCACAGAAGCGAGCTTGGAGTGGTGTCTACTTTACAACACACAGGTACCATGGGAAACAAAAGTAGGAAACCTCCAAAAGCAAGGACATTGTCAGCACCAATTCAGAGATGATTTGAGGATCTACAGGCGAGTAATATACAAATAAGATACATTTTTGTTAATAGTTAAGGTACTTTAATGCATTTTAAGATTTAACTCCTGGGTTTAGTGTTACTTTAATATGGTAGTAGTCACAGTGTCCATCTTATACCCTTTGTGACCTTGCGTTTCAACACTGATTTGCACATAAGAAAATTCCTCCTACCTGATTCAATCACATTGTTGTTTGTCAGTTCACATGGGTGAAGCCATGTGTTAAGCTGTGTGACTCAGACAGGAGGTAGCACAGCACTCTACAAACCCGAGATATGCAGACATGTCACAGATAATGCGGTCTAGCCGTACATCTGACATTGTAATTGTCAAGCTAGTAGATACGAATCCACAGTAATTAGTCCAGAACACTTTCATGAATAAAACCATATCAAAAAGTGCTAGAAAAGATAACATCAGTATCTTGAAAACATTCCAAGCCCTGCTCTTTTCAGCAGTCAGACTGTTAGGAAATGGAACCAATTCACACAATAAGCCCCCGTTAGCACCTCTGCGATGCGACATCGCAGAGTTGTTGCAGGGTGAACTTGTGGTGGTGCAACTAAATCGCACTGAAAGTGCGTGCACCTTTTTTGAAAATCACATCGCACCACATCCCATTGTCAAAATTTTACCATGCGATGCATAGTTCCAAGGACAACACCACTTGGCAGAGCCAGTGGCATGACACTGATTATCTTTTTATGTGCCTGTGCAAGTGGCATTCTTTCCACTGCTATAAGAGATAGGGGGGGGGGG